CGGGGTTTCACCATGTTGACCAGGATGGTCTCGATCTCTTGACCTCGTGATCCACCCGCCTCGGCCTCCCAAAGTGCTGGGATAACAGGCGTGAGCCACCGCGCCCGGCTCATAAAGGTTTGTTACCCTGATTTAGGAGGAAATGAAGTAACATTCCTGCACTTCATGGGGACATGCACTTAAAAAGTAACCCCCTAAAGATCCAATTGGAGGTTTGATTTACAATCCCCATGGGGTCCCCAAGTGTCCCCTGGTGATCCTCAGATTTTGCTGCAACCCCTCACCCCTTCACCTCCGCTTACCTCCTCGGGTCTCAGAACACATCCCACCCCTCCAATTATTTTCCCCCTGTTCTGTGCCTGCTCTGTCTGACCTGAGCTGCCTCTAATTCTTACCATTTCCCTGTTATTGTGGAAGCCCTACCCCAGTCCTCACCTGCCCGGCCCACGAGGCTGCGGGAGTCACTCCCAGGTGTTCCACTTCCATCTTCCTGCGCTGCTCAAAGTGGTCCTTTGAGTCCCACTATATTAAATTTCCCCAAAATCTAATCCCTTGTACCGTTCATCACAGTACTTCTCTGCTCAAGAAATTTAGTGATTTTCTGTTGCCCAAAAAAAAAAAAAAAAACAAACCTCAACTCCAGGCAGTTTCCAGATCCTCTTTCATCGGCCCCTCCGCCTTTCCAACCTCACCTTGCATCACTATTCAATCTAAGGCCATTCTTTTAGGCTTAAACCCATATCCAGGCTGTTCTGAAACCCCCTGCATCTCCCAAGGACTAGGACTGATGACTAGAGTACCAGTAAGATCAGTACCATCTCTGCTTCGGGTGGAAGGGACAGGCAGTGCTACCAAGGTAAGCCCCCTTCCCATGCCCTTACCACTCCCGCCTTACCCACTTCCTTCCGACCACACTGGCTTTCTTTCTTCCTCCAACATGGTCATGCTCCTGTCTCAAGGCCCGGGTGTTTGCTGTCCCCTTACTCTTGAAAGCTCTTCCAATGTGACTTGGGTGGGGGTCACTTTGCTCCCACTTCATGACGTATTTCCATGAAGCCGCCTCTGATCTCTCTAAATCTGCACTTCCTGCTGGGGCAATGGCTAGCGTCTATAATCCCAGTTACTCTAGGCTGAGGTGGAAGATTTGCCTGAGGCCAAGAATACAAGACCAGCCTGAGCAACACATGGAGATCTCATCTCTAAAATAAAAAAATAATCCATTGTGGTGCCTCACACCTGTAGTCCTAGCTTCTCCAGAGACTGAGCTGGAAGGATCAATTGCACCCAGGAGTTTGAGCCAATAGTGAGTATGACAGGCAATCCACTCCAGCCTGGGCAGCACAGGGAGATCTTGACTTTAAAAACTAAAAGTTTACTTCCCATCCCCTTCTCTGGCCTTTTCCCATAGGAATGAGCACCCTCCGAAATACTGTATTTTACTTGTTCATTTGCTGTTCCCCCTGCCATCTGTTTGGTTCGATGCTGGCCCCCCAGCACCTAGGACCCTGCCTGGGTCCAGCTGAACTGTTTTCAAGCGTATTGTGTGCTCTGATGGATGCCAACCACTGGAGGCTCAGCACCCAGAGAGAAGCCCGACCCCAGCCAGGGTTTCCCAGTGCCGATGCTCCGGTTTTAACTGGCGTCATCCACTGGCAGGCTTTGCCCACAAATCCTCTTGGATCAGGTGACAGCAGGAGAGTGAGTCACTCGGCGCAAACTTGTCAGCCTTTCAAGACATATATCCAGTTACAGCTGACCATCTGTAATCACCACAGCAGGTCCAAGTCGGCCACTCTGTGGCCCTCCCTGAATCCACAGCACTGGCCTCAGGACACAGGCTGAGACACTGGAGGGTGAGAGGCACCTCTCCCCACAGGGGACATGTTCTCCCATCCCAGCCACCTCCATCCCTGCTGGGCACGTACCCCTAAAATGTGTATGTGTATTCCTAAATGGTGGTCAGCCCTTGAACATGGACTTGAACTGCATGGGTCCACTTACATGCAGACTTGTGTCAATCAATATATTGCAAATTTTGGGGGAGATTTTTCAACAATTTGGAAAAACTCAGATGAATTGCATAGCCTAGATATATCGAAGAAGCTAGGTATGTCGTGAATGTATAAAATACATGTAAATACTAGTCTATCACTTACTACGATAAATTATGCACATATATTATTAAAGGGTAAAATTTAACAAAACTTACCTACAGCCCATACACGGCACCATTCTCAGTCAAGTGAAATGTAAACAAATGCAAAGATGCAGTCTTAAGCCATAACTGCATAAAATTAACTTCAGTACATAGCGTACTAATGTTCACGTAGCCACTTCCTGTTATTGTAGTGAGCTCGAGTGTTGCAAACATCTACTTAAAACGTGTGATAGTAATCATCCCCACAGGAGCAGTGCATATCCAGTAAATCTGGTATCCCAGTAAAAAGTGATCTCTTGCAGTTTTTGTGGTATTTTTCATCATGCTTAGTGCAATTCTGTAAACCTTGAATCACACCACGGGACCCATGAGTGCCATCCCTGATGCTGGAAGTGCTCCCAAGACGCAGAAGAGTCATGACATTACAGGAAAAATCTGAATTGCTGGATATGTGTTATAGATTGAAGTCTACAGCTGTGGTTGCTGCCATTTCAGACAGACGGTTCATCTTGTATGTAAGTAAAAAACTTAGATACAGTACTACTGAAATACATTTTATCTTATTTTTCTCTAGCTTACTTGATTATAAGAATACAGGATATAGCCGGGCGCGGTGGCTCAAGCCTGTAATCCCAGCACTTTGGGAGGCCGAGGCGGGTGGATCACGAGGTCAAGAGATCGAGACCATCCTGGTCAACATGGTGAAACCCCGTCTCTACTAAAAATACAAAACATTAGCTGGGCATGGTGGCGCGTGCCTGTAATCCCAGCTACTCAGGAGGCTGAGGCAGGAGAATTGCCTGAACCCGGGAGGCGGAGGTTGCGGTGAGCCGGGATTGCGCCATTGCACTCCAGCCTGGGTAACATGAGCGAAACTCCGTCTCAAAAAAAAAAAAAAAAAAGAATACAGGATATAACACATACAACATATAAGATGTGTTATTCAGCTGCCTGTTATCAGTAGCGCTCCCAGTCAAAAGCAGGTTATTACTCGTTGAATTCTGGGGGAATCGAGTTATGTGCACCTTTTTTATTGTATGGGGAGTCAGCATCCCAATCCCTATGTTGTTCAACGGTCAACTGTATATGCTACAGGTTGAACCATAAGAAACAGTGGGGCTGGGGCTGGGCACCATGGCTCGTGCCTGTAATCCCAGCACTTGGGGAGGCCAACGCGGGCAGATCCTGTGAGCTCAAGAGTTCAAGAACAGCTTGGGCAATGTAGCCAGACCTCATCTCTACTAAAAACAGAAAAATCAGCCAGGTGTGGTGGCGCGTACCTGTAGTCCCAGCTACACTTTGGAGGCTTAGTTTGGAGGATCACTTGAGCTGGGGAGGCTGAGGTTGCAGTGAGCTAAGATTGCACCACTGCACTCCAGCTTGGGTGACAGAGTGAGACCCTGTCTCAAAAACAAAAAACTGTAGGCCAGGCGCGGTGGCTCAAGCCTGTAATCCCAGCACTTTGGGAGGCTGAGGCGGGTGGATCACGAGGTCAAGAGATCGAGACCATCCTGGTCAACATGGTGAAACCCCGTCTCTACTACAAATACAAAAATTCAGCTGGGCATGGTGGCGTGTGCCTGTAATCCCAGCTACTCAGGAGGCTGAGGCAGGAGAATTGCCTGAACCCAGGAGGCGGAGGTTGCGGCGAGCCGAGATTGCGCCATTGCACTCCAGCCTGGGTAACAAGAGCGAAACTCCGCCTCCAAAAAAAAAAAAAAAAAAAAAAAAAAAAAAAAGAAAATGCTGGCCAGGTGCAGTGGCTTACCTATGTAATCCCAGCACGCTGGGAGGCCCAAGCAGGAGGGTCACTTGAGGCCAGGAATTCAAGACCAGCCTGAGCAACATAGTGAGACCCCGTCTTTACAAAAAAAATTTTTTTTAATCTGCCAGGCATTGTGGCACGTGCCTGTAGTCCCAGCTACTTGGGAGGCTGAGACAAAAGGATCACTTGAGCCCAAGAGTTTGAATCCAGCCTGGGCAACAGTCTCTTAAAAAATAAAATTCTGACACACGCCACAACATGAAGACACTAAGTGAAATAAGCTAGTCACAAAGTGACCAGTACGGTATGATTCCAGCTGTATGAGCTGTCTAGTCAAATTCATAGAAATAGAAAGTAGAATGGTAGTTGGCAGGGAATTGACAAAAGGGGGAAACGCAAAGTTTCAGTTTCACAAGATGAAAAAGGTCGAGATTTGTTTCCCAACAAAGTCAAAGTCAATACAGATATAAACTACTGAACCGGACACTAAAAGCAGTTAACACAGTAAATTTTGTTATGTGTATTTTGCTACAATTAAAAACTTTTAAAGTGAGTAGCCCTTCAAGGAGAAATTAAAAAGTTAAAACAAACATGGCCAGGTGCAGTGGCTCCTGCCTGTGATCCCAGCACTTTGCGAGGCCAAGGTGATGGATTGCTTGAGTCCAGGAGTTTGAGACCAGCCTGGCTAACACAGTGAAAACCCGTCTACTAAAAATACCAAAAAAAAATTTGCCGGGCGTGGTGACATATGTCTGTCATCCCAACTACTTGGGAGGCCAAGGTGGGAGGATCTCCTGAGCCAGGGAAGTCGAGGCTGCAGAGAGCCATGATTGCACCACTGCATTCCAGCCCCAGCCACAGAGTAAGACCCTGTCTCAAACGAAAAACAAAACTTGTGCTCTGTCATATGGAAATAAGAAATCAATTATCTAAATTCTGTAGCTCTGCTATTTGCTTGCCGCAGCCCATGGCATCCTCTTGAAAACTGCCCTCTCGAAGGCCAAGGCACCCAGCAAGGCTTAGTCCCAGTCCCTTCCCAAACCCCAGCTTGAGAATTCTCAGAAAGGGCCACCTCAGCCACTTTTCCAATTGTGTTTTATTCCAGAACAAACGGTTTTACACCAAAGCTGATCTTAAGTAGTACATTTTCCCACTGATAACAGCACATCTTCTTTCAACCCCAGACCAAGGGATCGAAGCTATGCTCAACTGAGTTTCACATTAGCTACCGACTTTTAAAAAATCCAGAACCAAGTCCTGGAGCCAGGCCAGATGTGGTAAGAGACTCAGCCAGCCCCTTTCTCCGTGCTGTCCTGATAGGGAGGGAGCCAGTGACTGGACAATCTAGAACCCTGTTTGTGGAACACGGGGCTTCAGCTGAGGGTGGGGTAGTGTGATGTCAGCACTGTTTCTACCTCCCTGTCCCCTGTGCTGCTTTGCTCTGTTGTCACCTCCCAGTGTTGGGACCCTGACCAGAATCCACACCTGCACCTGCTGGCCACAGACAAGACACACAGATAACCGTGACCCTCCCTCTGTGTCCTCACCAGGCCAGTGCCCCACCACTGCTGGAAACAGCCAAAAGCCGGAGCAGCTCTGTGTGAGCCACAGCTGTCCAGCCTGTGGACTCGGGTTATCCTGAAGAGGTTCCAACAAATCCTCGAAGAATAAACAATGTTGTGGCCCTATTTTGGGCTTAAAAAATAAAGGAAAAACAGAAGCTCACAGTGGCTGTGGCTCACCACGCGCCAGGCACTGTGTGAAACGGTTTAGATTTAGTGCTCATCACAACCCTGTGAGGTAAGCCGCACCACTATCCCCATTTTACAGACGAGGAAACAGCAGGCTCAAGAGTGACGCCCCTCACTTGCCTAAGGTCTCAGAGCTAAGTGGCGGCAAAGATGGGGCCCCAAGGTCTGTGTGACCTGAGCTCTCGGTTACCCAATACTTCACAGCTGTCACTTAGGAAACAAGAGAACACTTTTAGAAATAGGAGAAAACCCATTAGCCACAGTGATTGTCAAGGAGCTGAGGGGGCACCAGACCAGGTTCAAGGCCACTGCTTCCCTGGCAATGCCCCGCCCCGCCCCAGGAGACACGCAGATTCCACTCCCTGAGACGAGTGGCCCTGCTCTTAATAAAGGTCAGGCACAGTTCTGCACAAAGGCCCAGAATTCAAACCGCTGTCTTGTGTCTCTGCATTTGCTTAAGTGCCCAGTACTGGGTGGATTGGGGAAATCCCTGATTTGGGTCAAAATAAATATGCCAGGTCTCGTCCAAAGCTCACCTGCCGTCCCTCCTCCCTGAGCTGGGCCTGGGGTCTTCTGTTGCCAAGCATGTGAAGGGGCCAGCTCCCCACAAGAAGCATGTGAACTCTGCTGTTCCACTGTAGCCTAGCAGGGAGCTGACAGGCCATGAGGAGCGGAGTTCCTACGACGGCTACAGCCGGAGCTCCAGATCAGGGAGGGGGAAAGAAATGTCTCCTTTAGGACTTAACTGTTTAACTTCAGGGCATATTTGTTCTGAACCCAAAACTGAGTGGAGGAAGAGGTAGACCACAAAAGAGAACTTTACCCCCTGTCATTGAGCTGGGGTGAGGGAGCTCCAGGATACCGACATCCCCAGAGAGGGTGATATGATCCCTTTCAGTAGCACAGTGTGACTCAGGAGATCTGGGGGGGTGGGGAAGGCCGCGACAACCGGGGCGGTCAGTTGGCACATTCCCTACTCCTGCTGGGCCCTGGAAGATGGTCCACCTGACATCTCCATGGAGCCTATAAAGTGCCATTAGCAAAACCACAGGAGTCAGGAGAAAGAACCAACAGCCCTGGAGAGATGGCGGGCTATGCTGTGAGCGGACGGGGTCAGCTTAACAGATGGCCCAACATCTCTGGCCCTGGGGCTGGCTCACTGCATCCTGCCCCACCCTACCCAAGAAGGAGCGCCTGCTGCTGTCCTGGCCCCCACTTCCTACTGGCCACATGGGCAGACCAGCCAGGGAGCCCCACCCCCTTCTCAATCCCTTCTGTCCCGTGCTTCCCCATCTCCGCCTCTGCTGCCGCGGGCCGGGTCCTCGGGCCAGTACTGGTCCTCCATGTACTGCTCCATGTCTGTGCTGCTGTCATGTTCTCTGTCCTCAGGGCGGGTCCAGAGGCTGCAGGCCTCCTGCTGTTCCCACTGCAATTCCACCAGCCGGTAGAGCTCCATGGCCGTCGTGGCATCTTCTACTGACGAGTGCCCGTGCTGGCCCACCTGCTGACGAGAGCCGACACATGACTGCCTGGAGCCCGGGGAGACGCCTGCTGCTCCAAGAAGCGAGGCCAGTTTCCCAGTGCTCTGTGCAGGCCCGAGAACACGTGCGCTCAGAATGGAGGTTCACAGAAAAGGGAGGGAACCTCAACTGCATCCCACAAACCATCCAGCTTCTCCAAGCCTGCTTTCCTCAAATATAAGGCGTGCTAAAAATCTCTTACTGCAAAGGCTTGCAGACCAGATGAATAATAAATGTGAAGCCCAGCAGGAGCAAGAGGTACTGGCTCCTCCTGATCAAAGGCTGTGTGTCTGGGTGTAGGGGATGAGAGACCATCCTTCAGGGATGCGGGGACAGAGCCAAGAGTTAGGCAGGGGACAGATCTGGAGGAGATCGGCCTGGGAGAATGTGTTTTGAGAGAATGGCAGTACACACTGGGGAAGAAGGATCACGGGGAGAAGCACCTGGGGCTGCATGTACAGGTGGGACACCCGTTTAGGCAAGCTCCCTGGACCTGGACTGGGGAAGAAAGAATGCCAGGGAGGCCAGGCGGGCCTCCGCGCCTTCCAGCCACTCTCCTGCCACGCACCTGGATCCTCTTGTGCAGCAGCTGCAGGGCCAGGTCCTTCAGAGAGACCCGGGCCCGGGTGTGGAGGCCAGGCTGGCTGAGGAAGTTGGGGACATAGGTGGTGTCCCGGGTCTGGCTCCGAGGGTGGACGTACTTGAGGGCCTGGAAGTCGTTGTGCAGTGCATGCCCCACCACCACCTTGCCCTTCAGGAGCTTAAGGATCTGTGAGCAGAGAGAGGAGTCAGGGAGGTCGCCCCCACAACAGGCTGGCAGGAGACATGCCCCGGGATCCCCTGGCCAATAGGTGCACGGATCCCTGTGGAGGGAGGAAGCACAGAGCGGGGAGATGATAAGCTCCAGTCAACCATGCTGCCCGAGTCTGAGCCCACGCCCTTCTACTGACTATACGCACGGGCGTACCTAAGTCCTCAGCACCTGTCAAAGGGGAGCGCGGCCAGCAGCATTCCGTGGGGCAGCTGTAGGACTAAAGGACTAAAGGAGGTCATGGATGGAAGTCTTCCTGCCACTAGATACAAGCAACTCTACGGCTGGCGTAGGCTCCCAGCCTGGAAGACACCCCCAGGTCACCACACCTCCCACCCCGCCTAGCTCCTCCCCAGGTCCTACCATGCTGCAGGTCCGGGCTTTACTTTACCCGCTCAGGAGGCCTTCCCATGACTCCCCCATCTACATCAGGACCCCCGCTGCTCTCTGCATTTCATACTCTCTCCTTCAACAGCCGTCACACTTTCTAACCAGCCTCACCCCCACTGTAAGGTCTGAGTGAGGGACCATGTTTGCTTGACTTGATTACTGATGCTAGGAACGCATCACATTTCTTCTTCTTTTCCATGCCTATCTCTTTCATTTACTGATTTATTATTTACTTATCACAGGAGGTGATCAATATCAATAGAGACCAGCTGGGTGAAGTCAACAGAACCGTGCCTGTCACTGGTAGACACACCATAAGCAACAGCTCTTGTGAGTAGTCAGGGACATAATCCCTGTCTTCAGGACTCTGCCCCCTTGTCCCACTGTGTGCCAACTCCTCCCCACCCTCTTTTTTTTTTTTTTTTTTTTGGGACAGAGTTTCGCTCTCGTTACCCAGGCTGGACTGCAATGGCGCGATCTCGGCTCACCGCAACCTCCGCCTCCTGGGTTCAGGCAATTCTCCTGCCTCAGCCTCCTGAGTAGCTGGGATTACAGGCACGCGCCACCATGCCCAGCTAATTTTTTGCATTTTTAGTAGAGACGGGGTTTCACCGTGTTGACCAGGATGGTCTCGATCTCTTGACCTCGTGATCCACCTGCCTCGGCCTCCCACAGTGCTGGGATTACAGGCTTGAGCCACCGCGCCCGGCCTTCTCCCCACCCTCTTAACCTGCTCTCCTGCTCAGCTCTGGCCGCCTGGACAATGTGTTCCTCCCCTCCCTGCCAGCTGCCCTCCCCACACACCAGGGAGGCCACGTCCAGGGCCATGGGCCAGCAACCCCCTCCAGCCCTCTTAGCCAGGCTTGGGCTTCCCTTATCACCAGCTGCAGGCCTCCACCGCCCACCTCTGCCGGCAACATACGGTTTATCCCGAAACCCAGCATTCAATGCAGATGGATGAGATGCATTGAGGCTTTACGGTAGGGGTGTGCCACCATGCTGGTCACCGACCACGCTGCCCCTCCCCGCAGTCAGCCACGAAGCGGAAAGAGATGAAGCATACCCACACTGGTCCAGAGTCTGGGCAGACAAAAAGTGGCCCTGCTCTTGGGAGCCCACCCACCCGGTCAATGGAAGGCACCAAGGAGCTGGAGGGTTCACCACACCTCCCCTCCTGTTGCTGCTCTTCCTGATCTGCCTGGTTGCTGTATAAAATAACCTCCAGCCATTCAAAGGAACGCTCAGGCCAGTATTTCCCAACCTCGCCTCATCCCAAGAATAACCCAGAAGTGTTCAAAAGTGGTTCTGTTATAAGGCTTGTGTAGAAAGAGCCAATTTGTCTCAATGCAACTGATGTATGACACATTTTGAGAACAACGCAAATTTCACCCCTGCTTATGCTTAATTTCATCCCTGAGAAACACTGAGTGAACGCGGAAAACTGCACCCAGCTGAACTGAGCCAGGAGGGAGTACACAATACGCACACAGCCCAAACATCACCCAGCAACCCGGTTCACCCGCGTGATGAGCCACACCCATCCACAGCGGGTGCTGCACTTCCTGTCTGACTTCAGAGAACTCCTGACTACTCAGTAACTAGCTGCAGGTCCTCTTCCAGGTGAAGTGCCGTACTTACTGGTGTATTGTGCATTTCTGAACCATTTCAGATGTGTGGAATAAGAAAAAAAAAAAAAAGAAACATGATGTGTAAAACTGGACTACCACTTTTATTTGGTTTCTATCTTTTTATTTTTGGGGTGTCACTGACGGTCTTTATCCCCTTCCTCCATTTCCCCGCAAGCCCTGTGGCTTTATGGTGCACGTCTGCAGTGTGATGATTTTAACGGGGTCCAGGTCAGAGCCCTTGCCAAGCCTACTGGATCAGTCTCTATGGAGGGGACTGGGGACAAGGATCCTAGATTGCTGAAAAGGCCTTACGTGTTTCCTGAGGTCAAGTGTGTTTGGGAATTCCTGGTACATCAGTATGGTCCCAACGACTCATTTAATTTTTTCTAAGCGCTAAGAAATTAACATGAGGAAATACGCCAAAACATGAATACTTGAACGTGATGTCACTGTGGGCTTTACAAATTTTATATCAACGCATACAACTTTTATAACAGAAAGCAAGCTCTGAAATGTAAGCTGTTCATCACCCTCCAGTTGGTGCAGCCTTTCTACACTGTCCTGTGCGACAGGCCAGCAATCCTTACCCGCAGGCAGGGTCAGGATTTTATTTTTCTTCCCCCTATTCTCTGGAGAAGGAACCTATTGATTGGAGCAGTTAGGTGACTTTCCCAAGGTTTGCTGCCCCCAGTGCGGCTAAGTGGTGACTCAAACCCAGGGTGGCTCTTTCCAGCCCACCACACCTCCCAAACAAGTCCCCACCCTGCCCTTACCTCTTTCTGGGCCACCTGGAAGGGGATGGCCTTGCGCATGTGCTGGCGTGTGATGCCACTCCAGCGAGTACGGTAGTCAACGACGGGCATCTCAGGCCTGATGTACTTGTCGTAGAGAACATCGCCATAATAACTCACCACGGAACAGCGGGCCAGCTCGCTCACCCGCCCTCGGGGTCCTGTGCCCACCATCTCACAGTCAATAGCCACACACTTGCTGGGCCAGGGCCCTGAGGCTTTCCTGGGGGCAGGCCTTCTGCTGCATGCAGCAGCACCAGACCCAGCCCTTGGACACTGCTTCCCACTGCTGGCAGCTTCAGGAGCTGGCGCCGCCCCCAAAGGTGTGGGCAGTGGGGAGGACCCTGGTTCTGGAGGCATGCTCAGCAGCCCCTGCTCCTGCAGCAAGGCCTTCCGGGCCATGAACCTCTGGTGCTGTCGGCTCCTTCTCTTGTGCCTTCTCCGAAGCACATCCTTGGCATTGGGGATGGTGAGGGAAGGGCACAGGCACTGAGCAGACTCAGGGGCCTCCCGGGGCACCATTCCAGTCAGCTCACTGCTTGGGGCAAGGGAAGCCTGGGTAGTAATCTTCCAACGGGGCAGCAGCCTGGAGAGAGAACACACAGGTAGAGGGGCTGGGTGAGGGTGTGCCAGGCAGCCCGCCCACCCTCCTCCCTGCGGTGCTCCCAGAGCCCTGCACTGTAGCTGGCGGCTCCCACATTGAGTCGAGGACCCATTTCACCAATAAACGCACTCATACTGTGAACACATGCAAATCACCGCACTACACAGCATCACTCAATCTGCTCAATGACCTGAACAAACATCATCTTCATTTTCCACGTAAGAAACTGTACCACAGAGGTGAAGAAACCTGCCCAATGAGCAAAAGCCAAAGGCTGATAGGAACCCAGAATCCACAGCCTCAACCTCAAACCATGATCAAGTCTTTTTCCGCTGTGATTTTTAGCTAAGGAAGCATCAGACTTTGACAGTGTTATGGTTACAGGAAAATAAAGATTACAGAAACTGTATAGCCCTTTCTAAGAAATCTTTTTTTGAAATACGAAGACACAGATCCTTAGCAGAATCTGGAGAAGAAATTTCACAGGAAGCCCCCAGTAATCGTATTTGTGTGTAATATGTTGACCAAATGTAATTTCCTTTTTTTTTGAGATTCCTCTGTCACCCAGGCTGGAGTGCAGTGGCATGATCACAGCTCACTGTAGGGCTCAAGTGATACTCCCACGCCTGGCTAATTTTTTTGTATTTTTAGTAGCAACATTGCCCAGCTGGTCTTAAACTCCTGGACTCACACTTTGGCCACCTAAAGTGCTAGGATCACAAGCGTGAGCCACCGTGTCCAGCCTTTAAATGTAATTTCTTTACCAGACTTTGTAGTTCATTAATCACCACAGCATCTACAAACATTTAGAAGTCCTAATCTGAAGCACTTGCAGATTTCTGTGGCGGGATCCCACCCAGTGAACTGCAGGCCCTCATCACTGAATGCTAGGATAAGAGAAGATCTTGCACACCGCTGCTGTATATTGGATGTTCATGTGAGTCTGCAAAATCCAGCATCTTCCCAACAGCCAAAGCCATAGCTTGAAAAGCCTGTTTCATTTGTTATGCCAAGTCAGTACCTTTTTAACAGATCAAACAAACTAGCGCTTTGAAGTCAGGCAGACAAGGGTTTAACTCAGCTTTTTTTTTTTTTTTTTTTTTTTTTTTGAGACGGAATTTTGCTCTTGTTGCCCAGGCTAGAGTGCAGTGGCGCCATCTCAGCTCACTGCAACTTCTGCCTCCCCAGTTCAAGCGATTCTCCTGCCTCAGCCTCTCGAGTAGCTGGGATTACAGGCATGCACCACTACACCTGCCTAATTTTTGTATTTTTAGTAGAGACGGGGTTTCACCATGTTGGCCAGGATGGTCTCAGATTCCTGACCTTGCGTGATCCATCTGCCTCAGCCTCCCAAAGTGCTGGGATTACAGGCATGAACCACGTGCCCAGCCTAACTCAGCTTTTTATAAGTTACCTAAACTGCTGAGTTTCAGTTTTCAGGCACGTAAAATGATCCTACCACCCCCTCTCCTGTGTGAAGAGGAAATGACACAATTATCTTCCTGTATTCTAAACAGTACGCAGGGGCTCAATAACCAACTGCTCCTGACTCTACCCAGTGGTTGGCAGCCAGCTCTTCTCAGGCCACAGCAGCCCCCGCCCGGACACACTGACCTTTCCTAGCCCACAGGTCTTCTGCTGCTCCCTTGCCACTCACAGCCCTCCTGCCCTTTCAGACTCAGCTACTGTTTTGCCACCACCCAGAAGCCCTTCTGGAAGAACCTTTATCTCACTGGGTTGCACAGACCAATGCCACACTGAGGCTCTCCGGGGTCTCCACTGTGCCAGGTGCTGGGCAGCTGCAAAGATGGATCCTAAACTCCGAGAAGTTTCATCTCACGGCAGAGACCGACACCAAATAGAAGGTGTGTTAAGAGCTAGATTAGAGGAGCTAGGGAGGCAAAACAGGTTTTCTGGAGGCTTCCTGGAAGAGGCTAAATCTGTGTGCATGTAAAATAGCAACCTTCCAGGTGGAAGGGAGAGGAATCAGTGGCCATGTTAGCGGCAAAGGTCTGAAAAAGGAGTCGAGGAAGAGGGCCCACCAGCACCCTGAAGCCACTGGGGTGTAGAGCATAAGGTGGGTCATGCTGGAGGGGCTGCTCTCCTCTCCTTTGTACCATTTCATCTTCTGGTCCCCACTCCGGTGGCCCTTCCACTAGCCACTCCTGCCCCAATCTTGTGTCCCCTGAATTGGTCTCTACTGGCCAAGCAAGCGGGGGAGCCCCAGAGGCACCTACGGAGGTCACTTAAATATCCCACAGTAGCCCTGACCCAGGACATTAACAGTCTAGCTGGGGAGCAAAGAAATTCACCCCTCTGTGCTGAGCTCTATAGCACAGTTAGAGAATTATTACACCCTTCAAAGTCCATTGGTAAACACAGTCTACCTCAGAGCTGTCTGAAGGCAGATTAGAGCCTTGACTGTCTCTGTCACTTCCCCAACAGCCAGCCTAGAAGCCAGCACAGGGCAGGTCCTCTTCAGAAGAGTATTAGAAGAGGTCTGGAGAAGGTGAAAACCTGAGCAATAGCAGCAGAGATGAAGAGCAATGGGAAGTGGGCGGGAGCTGAGGTCAATTGCCAGGTTTGATGATGCCAGCATTTGCATAAAGACTCCCCGCACTCTAGGGCAGGACCAGGAATCCTGACTGACTCAGCCCGACCTGACCCATCCTGACTCATCCATCCATCCTGCTTGCTCATCCCATTCTTTCCAGGAGAAAAGGTCTCTTTTAAAAAGGTTTCAGCTGTAACCAACTTCCTCAGATTGACAGTCACATCTTAGAACTGACAAATTCGGAACCTCAATTTGCCTCAGCCCAGCAACAGGAGCAAAAAGCCGAAGAAGCCCAATGCCGACCCTGCTAATAACTAATTTGGGAGAGGGGGATGGGAGGTAACCCCCTCCTTTCTCTGTGAAGGGCTGAGGACTAGAGTGAGTGGTTTTCCTGACCCTACTGGCAAGGTTTTAAAGAAGCCAGAAATTAAGATATCTGAGAAAAGGTGTCTATGGCCTCCTACTTCAAGAGATAAAAGCAGTGCTTTTCCAAGCACCCTGACCTGGCTGACTCTCAAAACCAACAATCATCAAGGACACACATCTTTGGGGGCTCAAATGTAGCTCAGTGAAGCTGGAGAGAAGTTCCGCTCACATAACACAACCCTTTCATCAAGGACAAATACAAGCTTTTCTCCAGCCTGGACCCAGCACTCTGAGAATCAAACACCGGCCCTTCAGGCAGGGGGTCTCTGGCCTAAAGGAAGGGTCCCAGCTGCAGAGTGAACGGAGCAAAGGCCCCAAAGGAACCACTAAGTCAGAATCCTCAGTGGCATCAGAGCCACCAAACTGCTGGCTGATCAGGAGGGCAGAGGGCAGTTCTAGATAGACCTTGCTCTAGGACTAAACAGCCAGACGATCTGGGGCAAATCAATGTCCCTTCAAGTTCAGCCGACGGCTGTGAATTAGATCAGGGCTTCCCAAAAGTAGTTAATTACTGTACCAGAAGACATCTGATAAAAGACCGATTATCCGGCCCACTCCCAAACCGTGCTAATTGCCGTTTTGGGAAAAGGGGCTTGATAACCTAGATTTTTTGGGGGGTAGGACGAAGTTTTGCTCTTTTTGCCCAGACTGGAGTGCGATGGCACGATCTCTGCTCACCGCAACCTCCCGGGTTCAAGCGAGAGCATCTGGATTTTTTAAAAGAGCGTGCACGACCCTCAAGCCACGATTCCGATAATCGCCCAAATCGGAGAAAACCTGGCTCGATAAGGTCCCCTGCGCTGCTAAAAAGCCCACGGCACGACGACAACAAAAGTCTGCTATCCCCGCACGACCTCCCCGCCCGCGGGCGTTCTCCCAGGCGTGGCGCGTGGGCCGCCTGATCTCACCGGGAAGGACTCGGGCGTTGGTCACTTGCTGGCGTGACCGCTGGGCCGAGTCCCAACACCCAGCGCCGCCCCCCGGCCCTGGACCCCGAGCGGAGCGAGCACTGGGACAGGCGGCGCCCGGCCTGCTTTTCTGCGGGCCAGTGGAGCAGGGTCAGCCCAGCTCAGGCGTCCCCGCCGCGGGCAGCCGCGGACACAGCGCGCGGGGCCTTCACCCGCGACCAGCGGCCTCAGCCCTCCCGACCCCGCCGCCCCGGAGCAGGGTCCCGGATCTCACCGTAAGCCCCACGCGTCTCTTCCGGTCCGCACGTGGCTTCCCGAGGACCGGCGGCTCCTACATGCCCGGGCAAGCCCGGCTCCGACTGCCCGCCTATTGGCTCGCCGGACGGCAGCGCCCGCCCAAGGCCTCTTCTGATTGGCCTAGCCTGCCCGGGGGCGGGGAGGCGGGCGAGAGCCGAAGGGGAGGGACTTCTGAAGGGGGCGTGGCTCGCGCAGGGAGCCCACCACACTGGCGGGAAGCTTTAAAAAGAAGGGAGGGGAGCCTGGCCCCCTCTGGTCCCCGCTGGCTCCCAGCCACTCCGCTCGCTGGGTCGGGATGTGGCTCCTGTGGGTCCCCTGCCAGGAAAGGCCGGATAACACAGAGTACACCCACGTCTTCAGATTGGGAACACCAGCCCCAACCTCCTCCGCTGTTCTGGCATTCAGTGAAACAATACACACAGTGGTCACTAAGTAAACACCGCGTCAGCGCTACTTTTTCATTTATTCTTTTGCAAAACTTGACTCATAAGTATTAAGTTCCTACGTGGGCGTGGCAGTGGGATGCACAGTATAAACACATAAGCATCTTGAGTTGATTATGTTACTTTAAAAATGAAGGCCAGGGGCGGTGGCTCACGGTTGTAATTCTAACACTACGAGAGGCCAAGGCAGGCGAATCACCTGAGGTCACAGGTTTGAGACCAGCCTGGCCAACATGGAGAAACCCTATGTCTACTAAAAATACAAAAGTAGCCAGGCGTGGTGGTGGGCACCTGTAATCCCAGACACTCAGGAGGCTGAGGCACGACGATCTGTTGAATCCTAGAGACAAAGGTGGCAGTGAGCCGAGATCACACCACTGCCCTCCAGCCTGGGCGACAGCGCGAGACTCTGTCTCAGTAAATAAATACATTAATAAATGAAGGTAGGCACTCTGGCACATGCCTGTAGTCACAGCTACTTTGGAGGCTGAGGTAGGAGGATCCCTTGAGGAGGGCAGAAGCTCGAGGCCACAGTGCACTCTAACTGTGCTACCCTCCAGCCTGAGCAACATAGTGAGACCCCACCTCTGCAAAAAATAACTAAATGAAAATGAATAATGTTGGTATCAAATCACTATGATATTTAGACTCCATTGCATTTATTTAATGGCACATTTTTAAGATGTCCGTATTTGCAGATGCTCCTGACTTAACAAGGTCATGTCCTGATAAACCCATTGTAATTCACAAGTTGAAAATGCACTTAATACATTTAACTTAGCAAACATCCATAGCTTAGCCTGATACACCTTAAATGTACTCACAACATTTACATTGGCCTACCGTTGGGCAAAATCACCTAACACAAATGTTATAATCAAGTACTGAATACGTCACATCATTTATTCAAGACTATACTGAAAATAACAGAATGGCTGTATGGGCACTTGAAGTAAGGTTTCTACTAAATGTGTATTGCTTTTGCACTATTATAAAGTTGAAAAATGTTAAATTGAGCCATCATAGATCAGGGACCATCTATACTTACATTTATGATAAAAAATGTTTCTAAGTAAAAAAACTTGATGTCTAGGTATTCAGTAAGGGTGGTCTCACACTGGCATCTTGGCTATGGATGGTGATGCCTGCACCCCTCCTTTCTTAGGGAAGCCACTAAACTCACCCTCCAACTTCTGCTAGCTGTGTGACCTTTGACAAGGCACTTGACCTCGCTGAACCAAGTCAGCCCTTCACTTCTCCCCAGAAGCTGCAACTGGGTTGATAAAAATATCTCCTCCTAGGCCAAGCGCAGTGGCTCACACCTGTAATCCTAACGCTTTAGGAGGCAGAGGCGGGCAGATCACAAGGTCAGGAGTTCAATATCAACCTGGCCAACATGGTGAAACTCCATCTCTACTAAAAATACAAAAATTAGCCGGGCATAGTGGTGCGTGCCTGTAATCCCAGCTACTCAAGAGGCTGAGGCAGGAGAATGGCTTGAACCCAAGAGGCGGAGGTTGCAGTGAGCCAAGATGGCGCCACTGCACTCCAGCCTGGGTGACAGAGCAAGACTCTGTCTTGAAGAAAAAAATCTCCCTCCACAAAGATTAGGGCTCCTTTAAAACAGAGCTTGTTTGGACTGGGGACTGGTGGGGAAAAGCCCATGATCCAAACTCTGACCCCACGGACCCCATCCTTTCCCCCAATCTGAAAACACTTGCGGCATGACTTGACCTGTTTTACACTTGCGAATTGTTATGCTACAATCAAAGCACCATTCTGCCTGCCCCGTGTACCCATTTTGGGGACTTTTTGGGGTTCTGTGGGGATCCCTATGGTGCTGGACCAGGTGCAAACTTGAAAGAGAGTGCTGATCTGCTCAGTTTTTAGAGCAATTGCTCTCTATGTGTCGTCCTAGCCCAGCAAGCATGGGCATTTGCCTGGGAGTTTGTTGGATATGCTGACTCAGAAAATCAGGGTGTGGGGCCCAGAAAGTCGGGGGTGGGGCCCAGAAAGTTAGGGGTGAGATTGAGAAAATCAGGGTGTGGGGCCCGGTTTAACAGCTGATGAATAGCTAATCCCGAGGCACGTTCAAGTTTAGGATCCATTGTGTTGGAAAGTATGAAACTGACAACTCGCCCAGTGCTCAATGCGAACCGTGCGGTCGCTGTATACACACAGCTGCCTGCTCTCTTAGCTCTCTGGATCCAGCAGGGGCTGGACGTTGGACCTACCAGGACACAGCCTGGCACCAATACAATTAAGGTACCTTTGTGCCCTCCCCCAACTCCTGAGACTGTCCAGGATTCTCAAACCCAGGCTAAGTCTCACACGGCTAATCTTTTCATGGAAGACCGGAAGGATTTGATCCGGGGGGGTTATTCTCTGCCGTTGCTTGTTCCATTCCACTAGAGTGTTCTCACCTATAAAATTAATTCTTCCATCCGTGGTTGCCAGTCTCGACTCAACATGCTGAACTTTAAGAAAAAAAAAAAAAAAAACGCTTGGGTCACACCCCACGATTGTGATTTAACAGTTCTGGGGTGGGGCCTGAAAAGGGAGGCTTTTCAGTGTCCTCAGGTGTTAGTAGTTTGTGGCTGAGACAGAATTGCTGCTAAAGTGGAGTGACCTAAAGCTTCCAGCAGAGGACGCCGCCTCCCTGCTCATCCAGGGAAACCTGACTGCCGCAGTGCCATGGGAGGGGCTGGAAAGCTGGCTGCTGCTTAAACCAGGTGGATGCAGTTAAGGAGAGGGGCCAGATGCCCTAACCTTTTGTGTTGAGACTCCTAGAAAGTTACCTTAAAAACTGGTAAGTGAGGGCCAGACGCAGTGGTTTACGCTGTAATCCCAGCATTTTGGGAAGCCGAGGTGGGAGGTAGCTTGAGCCCAGGAGTTTAAGACCAGCCTGAGCAACACAGGGGGGCCCCTTCTCTACAAAAAATACAAAGATTAGCCAGGCGTGGTGGGGGGTGTCTGTGGTCTCAGCTGCTCGGGAGGCTGAAGGAGGAAGACAGCTGGAGCCCAGGAGGTCGGGGCTGCATTGAGCCGAGATCACACCTCTGCACTCCAGCCTGGGAGTGGGTCAAAGCCAGACCCCATTTCAAAACAAAACAAAATAAAAAAAGTAGTAAATTGTCCACCTTGCTGAGTGACCAAGAAATAAGTCACAATGTCTGCAGGCCTTGATTTCGGCATTTTTAAGTGGGGAAGGACTTGGTCTATATTCATTCTTCAATGTAAATTGAGGCCCCTCAAATGGGCAAGATACTGATTCGGGAGGAGGAGGATACACATTTTTTTTTTTTTTTTTTGAGACGGAGTTTCGCTCTTGTTACCCAGGCTGGCGTGATCTCGGCTCACCGCAACCTCCGCCTCCCGGGTTCAGGCAATTCTCCTGCCTCAACCTCCTGAGTAGCTGGGATTACAGGCACGTGCCACCATGCCCAGCTAGTTTTTGTATTTTTAGTAGAGACGGGGTTTCACCACGTTGACCAGGATGGTCTCGATCTCTTGACCTCGTGATCCGCCCGCCTCGGCCTCCCAAAGTGCTGGGATTACAGGCGTGAGCCACCGCGCCCGGCCCGAGGATACACATTTTAATGGGTTAAAATTCCTACAGGATAGGGGAGACTAACAGAAAGATGGTGATTTCCATTTGTTCCTGTTTCAGGAGTGCAGACTTGTGGGTACCCCAGGCTGGTGAAGAGGCCAACCATCAAAACTATGAAAGAGAAGGCAGAAGAGAACAATACGGGTGAATACCTATGACATTTTGTATTATGACACTTCACGTGCCTACTTATTATAACAACCTCGCAAGGTAGATGTGATCAATTCTATTTTATTGTTGAGGAACCTGAGACTCAGAGATGTTAAGTGACTGACTCAAAGTCACACAGCTCGTAAGCAGTGGAGCCAGGATTCAAACTGGGGTGTTTTTGACTTTAGAGCCAGGACGCCCCCCACCACTTAACAAGGGCTCTCTTAGCCATCCCTCAAATCAGGAATGCGCCCCACTTCCCTCCTCAGATACCTGTTTCACTGAGGCATGGTCTCTCCCTGTTCCATCCCCACACCAGCCCCAGATGCTGAGGGCTGCCTGGGAGAGACTCACTCCCCTCCTCTCCTGTTTTCCGGCTCTGCCCTTCTGCCCAATCTGGGCTTCTCTCCCGCTGTGAAGGACACACACCTGCTGAGTGACACCAATTTGCAGACTTCTCTAGTGTAAATGAGATTTCTAATAGGACTGGCTTCCCACTGGCTTCGGGCCCGGGTAGGGGTAAAGGGAAATGTAAAAGGCTGGAAGTGCGGAAGAATAGAGGCAGTTTGGAGGAGGAGAGGGAGCAGCAGAAGTGGAGGCAGCCACTGCCTCGGGTAGAAGTGAAGGGCTGACTTGGTTTAGAGAGGTCAAGTGCCTTACCAAAGCTCACACAGCTAGCAACCGGAAGAGGTAGAATGAGCTCAGCTGATGATTGCATTTTTAGCGTTCCCTAAAGGAGTAGAATCCCCAACCAAACTTAAGTTTGTAACGTGCTTTAGTGTCCTCTGCTATATGAACGGAGGAGGGTGGGAATATACTTAGGAATAGGGAGGGCATTTGTATTTGTTGCTTGACAAATTAATCTCCGCTGAAACTGTCAACAATGTGACTCCGTGCTCACCTTAGGGCAAGGTACCCGCCCCCCCTCGCCCCAGGCAGAGGCATCAAAAAAGCCTGGGAGGCTGGGGGAGGCAGCTGATCCTTGTAATAATCCCAGCACTTTGGGAGGCGGAGGCGAGGTGGGCAGATCACCTGAGGTATTGAGTTTGAGACCAGCCTGGCCAACATGGGAAAATCCTGTCTCTGCTAAAAATACAAAAAATTGGCTGGGCTGGTGGCATTCGCCTGTAATCCCAGCTAGTCGGGAGGCTGAGGCACAAGAATCACTTGAACCCAGGAGGTGGAGGTTGCAGTGAGCCGAGACTGCCCCACTGCACTCAGCCCGGGACAGAGCAAGACTCTGTCTCAAAAAAAAAAAGGCTGGGAAATGTTTCTTCTGATGACTCACTCTAATTGCATTCCTGCCACAGTGGGGGATGGCCCCCAAACACTGAGCTTTTTTTCCCTTGGCGACACCTCTGGATGGAGCAGCACAGAGGGAAAAAATTCCATACATGCAAGTCCACTCCCTCAGCTGTGGGGCAGGGACCTGACAAGCTCCGAGCTCAGGGGTGTCCTCTTTGCGGCCAGGTGCACCAAGCATCCGGAACCTCCGTCTCCAGAGCACGCCTCTTGATGCCTGCTTACTCTGTGGCTCTAGGGCCAGAGACAACGAGACCCTGAGCCCCGGGGTGTGGGGTCACCAGGTGCCTCCATTATAGGTGCCCCAAACTGGTTGTTGGGGGAATGAGTAATTAAGGAGGATTTTTCTCTCCCTGCCCCTCAGGCAGTGGTGTGGAAGCAGCCCACTGCTCCTTGAAGACAGAGACCCTGCCCCGCTTCCCTGCTCACCCCGGAGTTTGTCCATGTTTCTGGAAGAAGCGTGTTCAGGGTTGCTACTTGAGGTGTTCTCTAGGAAACACAAACGACACACAGAAAAAGAACACGTGGAAGGAGAACCAGAAAGGGGGGCTCCCCCCATGTCCCGCTCCCCGATGCGATGGCTGGCACCATTCGGGAGACTAGGATTTGTTGTTGAGCGCAGTAAGACAACAACAAAATCACAAGTCTTCCAGACGGGGCAGCCGGTCCACTCTGTATCCAGGCCAGCTCCGAAGGCGTTCAGCACCCACCTCCCCTCCCCTCGACACCGGGTCAGCGGTCTGGATGCTGCTGCCGGCCAGCGTTTGTCTGTCTCCCATTACCAAGTTCATCTCCTCTCAGCACCCCTCCCCACCTCAGAATTCCCCGGAGAAATTTCTTTTTTCTTTTCCTTTTTTTCTGGAGTGTTCTACTTTCTGTAATAAACATAGTTGTTTTGTTTGGCTTTGTTTTGTTGAGACAGGGGCTTGCTCTGTCACCCAGGCTGTAGCGCGGTGGTGCAATCACGGCCGGCTGCGGCTTTGACCTTCCAGATTCAAGTGATTCTTCCGCCTCAGCCTCCCTGGTAGCTGGGACTACAGCTGTTTTGTTTTGTTTTGTTTTAGTAGAGACAAGGTCTTGCTATATTGCCCAGGCTGATCTCCAACTCCTGGGCTCAAGTGATCCTCCTGCCTCAGCCTCTCAAAGTGCTGGGATGATAGGCACCCGATTTGAACATACTTTCTTTACAAATAGGGACATTTTATTTTTAAAGGGAAGCAGGCAGGTAGCTCATTTCTCTCTTTTCTTTACTAATCGTAAAGCGCCGAACTGCCACGGGGAAGGGAAAGAAGAGCTCAGAAAGGAGGACCCCTCTCTACCTGTGCCTCCGCTTCCTGGAAGTCTGGGGGCATGGCCCACGGTGCAAATTCTTCCAGTGTTTACTGAGTGCTGGGAGCACTGGAAGCACAGCTCAGAATGAAGTCAGAGTGGGGGTGCTGGGGTAAGCAGAGCAGAAAGAAAGCAACAGGGGAAATGGTTGTGGACAGGACGCTGGTGGAATCCCCTCCCCACAGGCACAACGCTAGGCTCCCTGGTTAATTTCCCTTGCAGTGTGGCACTGGTGGAGGAGAGGCAAGTCCCTGCTGCCTGGCCCAGCCTCTAATTGCGCTGGCAGGGCACATCCGCTCCTTAATTAGCAAAAGCCACAATATCCTGGTGGCTCAGAGAGCACGGCCCTAATTGTATTTCTGCAACAACTGAAGGATAATTACCCTTCCCTATTGGTGCTGCTTTTAATTCTCTCTCTTTTTAATTGTGACTGCTTCTTCTTTAGCCCACCCTTCCATCCTTGGATTTATTCTCTGTGCCCAGAATAGGAGAGGGCTTGCCTGGTGATGGAGATGCTCAGGAGCAGTGCAGGGGGCATGGAGAAGACCAGCAGTACCCAGCTCTGAGTCCCAACCCCTTCCAACTGTCAGCCTGAGACAGGGCACAGTTCTGCCATGGCCCTGAGGAAACCCAAGATGTTCTTTTGTGGAAGATGTAAGGGAGAGGTGTCCCTTCCCCAGAGGCTGTTAAGACCCTCTTCTGTCCATCCCCCAGTCAGGTGATGGCTCTGCAATTCCCAGCTGCAGAAAACTGAGACCTCCCTTCCCCATCCTTTAATCTATCAAGAAACAGAGATGGATTTTTGATCTTTAATTTCTTTTAAAATAATAATTTTTTAAAAATAGCCCTGTGTCTCTTTGCCACTGTTGAGAGAGAGTTAGCCCTTCATCCTTGTATTGTTTCAGAGGCAAGGACCTGAGTGTACCATTAGAGAACAATGCTAACTAAGGTAGCCCCTTGGTTAACGGGAGAGCTTAGCACCCTAGGTGTTTCTAGGAAAAACAGGCCTTTCTTAGGGAGCTGGCAAATAAGCTTCAAGTAGTAATAGATCAGCTAAAATGCAACACAAAGAGAGGTTGGAGAGAACAACAGCATCTCTCTTAACGTCGCCTTGTAGGACTGACCGATGTACCCTACATGAGCAACCTGGCTCTACAAAGCCACCACCCAGCCACTGCCCTACCAGAAGCTCACGATGAGAGCAGGGACTCTCGCTCATTATTCTTCCCAGTGCCTTGCACGCAGCCTGGCCCACGTTAGATGAAACTGGTTGGCAAACAAGCAAAGTTCAGAGGCAGAGTAGGATTGTGAGGTGTGAATAGGGTCAATCCATTTTCATTGGCTTTTTCCTTTCAGATCCAATGAAGGTGGACTTGAGCTGACTGTGGCCATAGTTTTCAAAATTCTTTAATTCTGAGCTCTATCTGAATTGGGAGAAGAGGCAAGCAACAAAAGAGGCTGCTATAGTCTCAAAGAAATAGATCTTGAAAAAATGACCTGCCCTTGAGCCCACCAACTTCCACTCCCCACTTCTAATTTCTCCTCTGAATTTAGAGCTGTTCCCTTAGCAACGCTTGTTTCCATGGTTTCTTCCATGACAATGATCCCCAAACCCCTCCTCTCTTTTACCTCATGACAGTAATGGGTGATGGGGATCCTCAGTGTGGCCACTCCATGTTACCATGGTAACAATTAACTGAGTCTTAATTTATCTTTTGTGAAGAGGGCTAGGGAATATGAAGCTTTTGATTTGGTGGGGGAGGGTTCAGGTCTAGAGCTACCGTTCTCATAAAGAAGAAGTTAAGGGATTTGTCCTAATACTAGCCGGTAGGATTTAGTTCAAACATTTGTTCAGCACTACTTTAAGCACAACTGAGTTTGAGGGAATCAAAGGGGTACAAGGCATAGCTCCTAATATTGAAGGGCTTATAGTCTAGCCCTAGGGCTCATTGTACCTCTGAACTCTGGCACAGATGGGGCCGATAAAGTAAATGGCTCCTATAGTACCATCATGATCAGACACCTATCCACTTCCAGTATCCCCTCCAGCCAAAAGCCAAAAAAAGACTGACCGAAGCGGTCTGTACTCACAGTAAAGCTTCTTCCAGGCTGCTGTCAGAGAGTTTCCATCCTGAAAGGGAAAGAACTTTGACTCCCCCTCTTTTTAGGATAGTAGGGACCAATGCCAGCAGCCCTGAGTAGGACTATTTGGTGCAGGGATGAAGAGAAAAGAAACCAAATCTGCCCAACGCCAATGCTATGGACTGGGATGATCTCCAGTTCCAGGACTGCCATCACCTACCTGCAACAAGTCTTCCTGGGATGCGATGAATCAGCTCTTACACTGAATTAGAGAGTCATTGTCTCCATCCATTCAGCTTCTCTGTTTGTCACTGAAAATTCAGGCGAAAGGCGCAGCTCTGAAGAATGAAAGTAGAAAAACAAACAAATAAAACATCAAAGTGGAGAAGAGGACACCGAATACCAAAGCTGAAAGCTGAGCAGAGTGAATCCAAAAGCTGAGCTATCCATTCTGTGTCACAGGTAATGCAGCTCTTCCAAATTCTAGCTTTCCATCTTCATCCCCAAAAGTTTTCACCACATCTCTAATAATGAGGACCAATTCTCTACTTTTAGGGGAAATCACAAAATTTTCTGGACCCTGGTAACAATCACCTGCACTGACTTTGAAACATAATCACAGTATCTCCCAAAATGAAGGGGACAAAAGCTACAGGACAATGTAGACGGCAGGTATGTTGAAGTAAGCTATGAATAGACAGGTAGACAAGGTCATCCTTGCAAGTCAATGCAATCTGGATTAGCCAAAGTCAGTTCCAGATCCTGAGTCCAGGATTCTGTGTTCCGCCCTTTGCTACTGGATGGAACTAAGGCAGATTCAATCCTTCTGGGTACCCTGCTCACTCAGCTAGTCAGAAAAGGATAAATGGCATCCTCTTATTGGTTGACAAGGCAATGCACACCAACCAATGAAAGAATGCTCCTTCCTTTCCAGCCAATCAGAGCTCACCTATCTTCTTGAAAGGAAAGTAGACCCTTTGTCCATAAAGAAAATAAGCAGAAAGTGAATAAAATTTTTTAAAAAAACAACTGTTGCTAAGGGACATTATTGATGTGATAAATGATAGCTGCCCCAGAGAATTCATAAAGAAAAGCACTGCTTTGGGAAGAAAAGTACAAAAAGCAGACCAGCTGTCTGGTCTTGTCTGAAGGGAAGTTTCTATAGTAACATGTGATAGAAAAGCATTTTAATGTAAATACCCCCAAAACTATCAAATCCATTCATTGAGGGAATTTTTGACCTTTTAAACTTATGCTGAAATTATAATGATTAAACATTTTTATATTAATAATAGATGAAGGAAACGAGGAGAAAAGAGAATAAGAGGAGACGTGTGTTTACTGGTGCAGACATCACAGATAAAGATATGACAGTTACTGCCTGAAACATGGAGATTTTCTCCATCTCTGCGTTGTCAGCTAATATCTCAGTTTAAAACAGAGTTCTTTCAGTTGGTGTTTTTCTTTTGTTTTGTTTTGTTTTGGAAAGAGAAAGTTAATGGCTCTTAAACAGACATATTTGAAATGAAATAGTGGACAGGGCACACACTGTGCTGGTAACTTGCTAGCAATTTCCTCCCAAATCATTCTGAGAATGTTACAGCTTCCTTTGGAAAATTATAAGTAAAATAATTTCCTACCCAGATGTTTCAGGATAAGGAAAGGCAAGGCAAGGTTGATAGGTGAAAGTGGAGTCAATGTTTCTCAATCAAGGGAAACAAAAAAATCAGAAGATTACAAGCTTTAGGTGCTGTATTTGCTAATTATGAAGGCAATGCTGGGGAGGAATAAAAGAGAAGAGAATCTTGAGAAATCAAATGAGAGTGATGCTAGATTTACTAAGAGAGACACGTTTTCCTCTAACTGTGCTTTCTGTGTGGTCTGTGGGGCAAGGTGAGAAGTGGGGGTAATCCAAAATTCATCCCCCTCTCCCCTGAAGGGAGTGGTTTAGTTAGTGGGGGAGGGAGGACTATCAAACCAGGGAGAAAGCTTCTCTCTACAGTAGACACCCTTGGACAATTTCCTTGTCTCCCTCCTGTTCATGCATGAAGAGCAAATGTGTTTTTCTCATTTTAAGGGGGAAAAAGAGGGGGTGGGGGATAAGAAATCAGCTCCTCCAGTATAAAGGACTAAATGAAAAATATAAAAGACAAAATTGTAAATCCTGGAGAAATGAAGCCAGTGCGGTGGAGTGGGGGAGGGGAGGACTGTAGTGGTGGAAAGGTAAGTTGCTTTGCTGTGCGCCTCGACTTAAAAAAAAATAATAATCATCTTCCAGGATTTCCCTGGACCCGGCCGTATGTAGGATCGGCCGTATGCAGGATCGGTGTGACTCTCACCTAGCCCGGAAAAGGCAGGGGCTCCCCAGGAGATATTTTAAATAATCAAGGTGCTCAGGGATAATCATCAGTGGCCAAAGCCTCTCCACCCACCGTAACCAAGGCAACAGGAGGCTGGGGCTGCGACTGGTTGCCTGGTAACCATGCTACTGCCCAAGTCCTGTCGGTTCCCTTCCTCCTCCACCTCCGTTAGCCCTTTTGTGATAGGGGCTGTTCCTCTGCGTTCTTTCTCCTTCCTGGCCAAACAGTCATCTTTACTCCTCACACAAAGGCTACTTTGGGTAAAAAATGCGTACCTTGATGTTCTTTTTGGACAAATTTCATCCACGCTCGAATGTTGAGACCTAGATAAAATCTTACCTCGGCTTCAATATCTTCCCCCTCCTCCCCACACTTTCCCTTTCACTCCCTCCTATTAATGCGTCCAGAGAGTGTGGGAAGGAAGGGAAGAAGGAAGGCGGAGAGAGCGAGAGGGAGCGCAGGATTTAGATGCTGCGATTTTTCACTGAACGCCCGGGCTGGGATCGCGGTAGATCCTCCGTCCCGCACGCCCCTTTGCTCACCGCCTGCAAGCGTGTCTCCGCTCCCCGCACCACCGCCTTCCTTTGGCGCCAAGTTTTTCCACTGGTCGTGGCCAGGACAAGATAGAATGCTCTCCCAGAATCCCACACCTAAATCCCTGGAGAAATGAGGAAGGTGAGTCCCACATTCTTCCGCGAACCTGAGTCACCTCCTGATCTCCTCCGCATGGGGTCTGAGGGGCCGCGAGCGCAAGTGGTCTGGGGCTGGGAAGCTGAGCCGCGCGCAGGCAGGCACCGACCATTGGCACCCTAGGGCCGGGGCGCTGTCCAGCCTCTGGTGCTGAAGCTGGAGGCTCAGATTCACTGGGGTGGGGGCTCCAGGGACCTTCAGCAGACTGATTCTGAGCCCACTCCAATCGGGTAGCGACTCGAAGTAGAGGCACTGGGTCCGCCGAGTCGAAAGGCTACACTGGGAAGTAACCGCATTAGACTCACTCTTTCAGCAGATAGGGCTCCCCCAGGGCGCAATCCCCTGCTCTTCTCATTCCCCTCCCTGGAATTATTTGCGGCAATTGCGGTGGGTAGGGAGAAAGGCCCTTTGCACTGGAGCCATTACCCAGTTGTCTCCTGGTACTTTTCACATTTTTTCCTGCGGCTCTGGGCTCTCTGGGTGCTTGCAGGCAGAGTTCCCGGACTCCTGGCGCTCAGATCTGGTGGCGGGCAAAGCAGCGAGGAGAGAGGCTTGGAACGCGGAACGCGGCTGCTCTTCTGCATGCAACAGGTCAGCTGCATCTAGAATCCGGGGCGAGAAGCGCGGGAGGAGCGGCGGCGGCGGGCTTGGGGCGGCTGGGTTGCGAGAAGCAGCTCTGGCGAGGCTGTGGGGCAGTCTTTCTCCTGGGGGGCACGGGACCCAGCGAAACAAACTGCAAGCTGGGTTTCCGCATCGTCCCGGGCAGGTACTGGAACCGACGCCCCCACACCTCTAGCCTGCCCAGCACCCCGTAGGAGCGCTCACCTGCTGGGCTCCGGAGTCGCCTTTCCTCCTCTTCACTGCACCTTTGGCGGGTGCCAAGCCTGGCCGCCCAGTTCCCCGGCCCTCCAGAGCAGCCTCAGGCTCAGCTTCCCGAATATCAGCTCCAGTCGGCTGCTCCTCCAGGCACGAGCCCTGGACCTGGAGGAGGGAACTGGGCGGGGGACCTTGCCTGAGATTTACCTGGAACGGGTCGCCACGGCTGGGGAGGAAGACCACTTGCTCTCCGCTTCTTTCTGGAAGAAAGCCCCTCACCACCCAGCTGCCGGCACTTTGCGTTCCCCCAACAGCCGCAGAGCAAGCTGCAGCGCAGTGGGGCGGGGAGGGCTGGGGTTTGAGGAAGCTGTTTGTAAAGTGCCCCTGGAATACTCGCCTCTCTGGTGCCATCAGTCCTGTCCCGGTCCGTAGTCCTGGTGTGGCCCTCCGGGTGCAAACCGTCGCCGCTGCTGCCGGGCCAGGGAAGAACAGCTGCTTTAAAGCTGAGACCAACCGACGGATGGCCTGTCAGGGCCACGGATGTTCATGACGTCATCCTGAAGGCGAGCGGAGAAAGCAAGCGAAGGGGGGGCCGCGGCACTTCTCATCAAATGTCCCCTGTGGCCATGGCAACGGCTTGTGGGGAGGGGGTGCCGGTCGGCGGGCCAGCAGCGGGCAGCCTGCTACTCCTGCCGGGGTCCGGCGCTCTGCTGGGGTAGGGTCGGACATTAGTGCTGAATCCAGTTGTGCCCGGACCAGACGAGGCACCAGAGCCAGTCCCGTCCCCTGCTGGGGCTCGTCACAGCGGGCGGGCGGCTGCCTGGTCCCAGGGAGGAGACGGGGGAGACTACAGGCTTCCGGAGGGCAATTAGCAGAAACCTTCATTTTCACAGGGCCGTTTCCTATTCTTCCACCACCCCACCTGGGCTGGTCACACCTGGTTAACCTGGCCGCTCTTAGACTTGTTCTCGCCACTCTCGACCCACGCGTGCTGGAGCAGAGCACACCCAGGCAGCGCCCGCGCAGGACCCACCCACCTGCCCTGGTCCTCGCCTGCATGCACGACCAGCCGAGCTTCAAAGCTGCCGTTAGAGCTTCAGAAAATGACAAACCCACCACGGATCCAGCGCGCATCTAGGGGACGCAAACTGGTGACCAGCGAACCAGGCAGAACACAAAAATGTTTGCGAGGCTCCCCCGCACAGTATTGTAAAATGTTAACGTATTTGTCAAAAAGATTGGAAGAGTTCACACAGGACTCTGGATTTTCCAGCTCTCCTCTCCTCGAAAGCAATATCCCTGTCATTGCCATGGCATTGCCATGTCTCTTGAATAAGCGCTTGCTGGCATTCTGCATGTAGGCAGAAGCTCTGACTAGTGAACGTGTGGCTGGAGTCCAGGCACAAGTAGGCCCTCTTCTCCTTTTCGTCAATATTCACCAAGCCTATTTGTCATCAGTCTTATCCTTTTACTTCTTTTTTTTCTCCTATAGTATAAAATGTGGCCAAGAGCAGTGGTTCACACCTGTAATCCCAGCACTTTGGGAGGTGGAGGTGGGAAGATCACTTGAGCCCAGGAGTTCGAGACCAGCCTGGGCAGCACAGTAAAACCCCGTCTCAAAAAAAAAAAAGAAAAGAGGAAAGCATAATTGTTTTTTGTCACCACCTTACCTGCTCACTTCATCATTGTTACCTGTCAGGTCCTGTAAGCATGTGAGTTTGCTACCCCTTGTTCCCGCAATTGCTCTGTTGAGTGGGAGCTGGCAATGGCTTCACTCAGCTTGCAATGCTTGCTTCTTTTCCGGCTGGTGCCCTGCAGGGCTAACCCTGGAGACTCACAAATGTCTGTGCTGCTCACATCCAGCCAACACAGGCAGCAGGGCATTTCCTCCTATGTAGGCTGGAGGATTGTTGTTTTTGTTTGTTTGTTTGTTTGTTTGTTGTTTCTCATTTTCTTTTTTTATTTTTTTTTTGAGACAGAGTTTCACTCTTGTAACCCAGGCTGGAGTGCAATGGCGCGATCTCTGCTCACCGCAACCTCCGCCTCTTGGGTTCAGGCAATTCTCCTGCCTCAACCTCCTGAGCAGCTGGAATTACAGGCACGCACCACCATGCCCAGCTAATGTTTTGTATTTTTAGTAGAGACGGGGTTTCACCATGTTGACCAGGATGGTCTCGATCTCTTGACCTCGTGATCCACCCGCCTCGGCCTCCCAGAGTGCTGGGATTACAGGCTTGAGCCACCGCGCCCAGCTGTTTTTCATTTTCACATTTCAAAATATGCAGGTATTTGGGAAACATTTTTTAAAATCATATTTTTCATTTATCACTCAGATATTTGATCGCATTAAACACTCTTTACATTTTTTAATGTAAGGAATGATATCTTAATCACAAATACATGGAAAAATAGAAGAAAACATTTTAATTACTCTCAGACTCACCCATCGTTATGTAAACTAACACTGTTTTACATTTTCTGATTGGCAGTCTGAAAACAGCTGTAAATACACTCTGTGAACACCAGGAGCCAGTCAACATACAAGTGAAAAGCACCACCAACAGGGTCTAATTGTATCTCATGCACACTCTCTCACACAGTCACACCTACCAGGACAGTCATTAAACGTGCGTTTTGAATATCCTGCATGCAGCAATGTGGAAGGGGGCTTATCTTCTTTCTCCATTACCAGTAGACGTCGCTCTAAGGAAAAACAGGCTCTTATTCATATACACTTGCTCTCTTAACCAAGTGTCTGAAGAATTTTTGTTGAAAGCAAAGGCAACTTTGTATTAGATCAACCCCAAATCTTGGCCAACATGGATTGTTTTTAGCCTATTGAGAAAAATTAGTGCAGAGAAAAGATTCTGCATTTATCTCTTGGTGAAAAAGTTGTTCGGTCTTTGGCCTGACTGGCCCCTTAACTCAGGACATTTTTCTTGCAACCATTTCATTTGTGAGTCTTAGAGCTCTAGGCTATATTAATGCTCCATTCATTATCTTTGTAAAGCACTTTTAATTTTTCACTGAGTATTTTACGTGATGTATCTTGCTTGATTCTAGAAGCTGCCCATTTTATAGATAAAGAAGCAGAGCTCAGACTGTTTAATTCACTTGAGTTCCCAGTGTTCCTTCTGCTAGAAAGACCCACTGTCTCCCTTACATGAGTCATCAAAATTATGTGTTAAATGGTTAAGAGAGCTAGTTGGGTGTGGTGGTACTCGTCTGTAGTCTCGGCTACTCAGGAGGCTGAGGTGGGAGGATCACTTGGGCCCAGAAGTTCAAGGCTGTAGTGAGCTATGATTGCGCCACTGCACTCCAGCCTGAATAACAAAGAACTTCTTTCAAAAAGAAAAAAAATTCCAAAACAACAAATAAAGAGTTTGGGGCTGGGCGCGGTGGCTCACGCCTGTAATCCCAGCACTTTGGGAGGCCGAGGCGGGTGGATCACGAGGTCAAGAGATCGAGACCATCCTGATCAACATGGTGAAACCCCGTCTCTACTAAAAATACAAAAAATCAGCTGGGCATGGTGCCGCGTGCCTGTAAACCCAGCTACTCAGGAGGCAGAGGCAGGAGAATTGCCTGAACCCAGGAGGCGGAGGTTGCGGTGAGCGGAGATCACGCCATTGCACTCTAGCCTGGGCATCAAGAGTGAAACTCCATCTCAAAAAAAAAAAAGACCTACTTCCCAATGCTGGAGAAGGTACGGTGAAATAAGTGCTCATACCTGTGGAGGTTGCAAGTTGGTTAAATTCATTGGAAAGCAATTTTGCAAGGTATATCAAGGGTCATGAGCAGTCTGGGCAATATAGCAAGACCCTGTCTCTACAAAAAAAAAAAAAAAAAAGTCATAAACACAAACATGTTCCCACCCTTTGGACCAGTTCCTCTTTAGGGTATCTTTTTTTTTTTTTTTTTTTTGAGATGGAGTTTAGCTTTTGTTACCCAGGCTGGAGTGCAATGGTGCAATCTTGGTTTACCGCAACCTCCGCCTCCTGGGTTCAAGCAATTCTTCTGCCTCAGCCTCCCGAGTAGCTGGGACTACAGGCACGCGCCACCATGCCCAGCTAATTTTTGTATTTTTAGTAGAGACAGCATTTCACCATGTTGACCGGGTTGGTCTCGATCTCTTGACCTCGTGATCCACCCGACTCGGCCTCCCAAAGTGCTGGGATTATAGGCGTGAGCCACTGCGCCCGGCCCTTTAGGGTATCTTAAAATAATCTTAAATACAGAAAATGCTAGATGCATTAAGCTGTCTGTTGTCACATTGTTTAATATTTTAAAAAATGGGCCGGGCGCGGTGGCTCAAGCCTGTAATCCCAGCACTTTGGGAGGCCGAGGCGGGTGGATCACGAGGTCAAGAGATCAAGACCATCCTGGTCAACAAGGTGAAACCTCGCCTCTACTAAAAATACAAAAATTAGCTGGGCATGGTGGCACGTGCCTGTAGTCCCAGCCACTCAGGAGGCTGAGGCAGGAGAATTGCCTGAACCCAGGCTGGAGTGCAATGGCGCGATCTCGGCTCACCGCAACCTCCGTCTCCTGGGTTCAGGC